AAATTTACTTACGCATCTGTTCAATTTCAGCTGGAATTTTACTCGTTGTCAACATAAAGCAAAGAAAGAAACGTTTCACTTTTTACGACAATCATAACAAAACAAATAATTGACAGCTATTTATTTCTACCTATGTGTGTGAATGCACTCGTGAATTAACACACACCATCATACACAGGTTCCACTTTTGCTCAGAAGAGGCGTTGCCGTTACTGTCTCCTGATTTTTGGCAGAGTTGCCAGTCTTCTTGATTTGTAGTCTTCGCTATTCTTCAAAACTGGTGCAACCACTCAGAATCGATATCGGCTCAATGCAAAATGCATAGAAAACGGCGCCGGTGGTGTAGTGGTAAGCGTGATTACCTCTCACCCCAGCATTACCTGGGAAGTAAAGCCGTTGGTTCCCGGTTCATGAGTTGATGGGTCGATAGGTAGGGTCCAGGTGTGGGAGCTGCCTTCCTGGCACGTCGGTAGCATTGGTGCTCAGCACGGAAAACAAGATCGACGGTAAAAACAAACCAAAGGAAAAAAAATGCATGCACTCAAAAAATTTCACACGTTTGATCGAAGTGTTTAAACACTTGATTTTCTAAATGCACAATCACATTTACTTTAAGTGTATTTCTCCTTGGTTCAATGTGTTATACACGTTAATTTATGGTGTTGGTGAAAATCTTTCACTATCTATTCAAGTGTATTGCACATTGAATCACGCTACTGTTCAAAACAGATGGATTTAAAGTGTTTTGCATTTCAATACGATGTGAATTGCTTGCTCAGTAAGGCAAACATCGATAACAAGAGTTGTGACTTTATCCTATCAACCTGCCTCATATATGAGAACAACCGTGGCACAGTGAGATCGAACGAAGACTCCGGCAGCAGCATATCCCAACAGTCCATGATCGAATCCCAAATCAGACCCATTATAAATATATGTGAAAGCTCTGGCCTCTGGCAGTTTTGTTTATATATTTGTCGATTCATTTTTAGAGTCGGTAAAGTAGAATTCGATAAAGTAGAATATTGTAGAATATTGAAGTATGGTGTGCAAAGCTATTGATATCACCATATGAGGCACATAGAATCCAAGTGTGTCACGATTCAAATCCATAGTGTTCAGGCATGGTTCATAGCATAAGATTCACACATGAAATGGATGTGTTTCACAATATGCGCAAAATTAAGTGTGAGACACATGATGATGACGTGTGGAATTTTTTGAGTGTAGCTCAATTAGCTTTCTTGGGACCCCTCACGGTCAAGTTTTGGGATATCCTATGTACAGAGATTCGCGAAAATATTATCAGACAATTTGACAACGTGATTTGTTAATGTCCTACAGGAAATTAAATTTAAGTTTATCTAGCTTCTTAGTGAAAATGTACCACCAGGGTTAATATATATTCGGAAAAATGCGATGTTTTTCTTCAGCCGAGTATTAGTACAAGACACTGAAGAAGTCTGCACATTGTAGACGAAGTACGCGTATCTGTCAAGGATAAGCAAATACGGTAGTGGAATTAAATGGAAATTACTAATCCTTCTCTCTCTCTCTCTCTTTATACAGGTATTCCACTAAGACGCCCACATTCATCAGGATTCTTTAAAATTTATCCATCCACAATTTATTTTATAATTATTAATTATGCTTAAAACTCTCTTACGTTAACATACGCATTTTACTGCTATACAATGACAGTTTTCGTGGCTCGATTGGCTCAAGATGGCCGCTCCCGCGAATCTCTGTATGTAGGATTACTAATCTGAATCAAGTAATTTCCGTACTTACCAACTCTTACACTCGGACCATCTGTAACCGTTCGTCGAATGCTCTAAGTGAGACATTGCAAACACAGTGGCTTATACGCCACTCTCGGATTAGAGAAACCAGTGGTCGTTTCTTTTAAGTTTGCCCGACTTAGCTTTTTTTAAGCATGAGCGACGTTCTCAAAAGGGAATTTCCGAACGGTACGGCGTTGGCTTCCTCTTAGAGACGATCCGGTAGAGTTTCGGAACCCCAGCCGGTGCCCTTTCCCGCATCTTTAATTTAGACCGTTTTGCACGGGCGCTCCACTCGCAGACGCCGGTTGGAGAAATTCAAATGTAATCAAAATAGTAATTAACTTTATTCTCATCATGTTTGTATGTTACACTCACAACTTCTACTGCGTACGTACTGCACAATTTATTTCTAAATGATATCAATCATCACACTAAATGAATATTAAGGCCCAAACGCAATGTGAGCGGAAGCGGAACGGAAACGGAAAGTTGTCACAAATGACATCAAGATGCCTAACCGAAGTGGATTTGATTCTTATTAGTTTTCAATCCGACAAGTAGGCTTACTCAGCTTGGGCTGCCGCTGCCGTTCCGCTGTCATAGCGCTTGGGCCTTTATAAGTGAAATGTCATAACAAGATAGCTTATGTAACGTAATATCAACTTTAGACTGAACTTGGCGTTAATCTGCACCAACTTTCCTTTGATCCGTTATATTTTTATTTTATTTATTTATTTATACAATACAAGAATAATAGCACAAGTAATCTACTAAAGATTTTCAGAGCATATGCTACTATTACACTACCGATGTACCTATTAACCTAACTTAAGTAGTTGCTGCATAAGTTTTTGAATGTTGTTAAACTTCTTGCTGTCTTGCATTCCCTAGGTAGTTCATTCCATAATCGAATCGAACGATAGCGCATTGATTCACTTAAAAAATGTGTCGAGCATCTTGGAATAATTTAAACACTTGACCTAGAAGATTGTGAGTTAATAAAGAAGTTTCGAAGATATATCGGACTTTCGTTTAAAATTTTAAAAGTTTGAATGAACATTCTAAATTTCATGTAGTTGACGAAATCGTAGCCGAGTAATAAATTAGAAAAGTTAGAAATGTGATCGTATTTCCGCAGGTCGTATACGTATCTGGTAACGGCATTAAATACCAAGTTGAATTTCTTTGTATTTGTCTTAGAAGTTAAACTAAAAAGAATATCCCCGTACAAAAATAACGGATTGATCAAGGATCTAGCAAGCTGAAGTCTGATATGTTGAGGCGTGGAGTGACGTAACAAAAATAGGGAGTGAAGCGTACAATAAACTTTGCTGCACACAGCATTGACTTGAGCATTAAAGTTGAGGTTACAATCCATTACAATACCAAGGTTTTTATTTGTGTCAGAATACATAATGATATCACCACCCAATTTAACTAATGGGATATCCTAAATACCAGTTCGTTTTGATCTAAAAATAATACTTTGTGTTTTTGCCCTGTTCAAAATAAGACCATTAGTTTCACACCATTTTAAGATATTTTCTATATCACTATTTAATAATGTTGACAGTCATCTGCATATAAGTGAAATTTACAATTTGATAAAACGTTGGGCATATGATTGATGACCATAGAAAAAAGTAGGGGTCCCAGGATGGATCAGCTTTCTGGTAAGAGAGCCTGAAACATTTTTGTGCCATTTTGAAACATGAATCGTCTCTTTTAGCAAAGATTGACAGTTTCTTATGGGAATTTTCCGTGGAGCGAAAGGATAGTACAAAGTCCGCCATGTTTCACGCACAGTCTGACGTTTGCTTATGGATTTTAACATTGGAGTAAAGAGCTACAATATAGCCAAGCGCGATTCGGAGACAACGGTATTGAACCCGTTGCAGCTTCAGGATGTGCGCAGATTGAAAGCAGAAGCTACCGCACTCTAGAACCGACAAGATGGTTGTTCGATACAACCTGATCAGATCTTCCGGGTGTACTCCCTTAGGGATAAGTTGAAAATAGAAAGAATAGATAAGAAAAATCGCAAAAAATCTACTATTTATAATTTTTATCTAGATAAACGCGTCATTGGGACGATACTAATGGATATGTTTTGTCGCTATTGAAAATTTAGTCGATTGCTGAATTTATGTATGGGCCCAAATTAAAGGCATTAAGGCCATCATTGTTCGTTCCCCCTTAAAAAAAAACATAAAGTTTGACATGCTGCACGATGGGTTTTGATTCTTGTCGAGAACTGGCCACTGTCAATTACCGGCCAAGTTTTGTAAAATTATTAAGTTCGATATGTCACACGACTGGTTTTGGTTCTTGTTGAGAATTGGCCACTTCCTCGGGTCCATCAGAACTTTTCCGGGATGCCCAACGGGATCACGTACCATCGGTATAGCCGTAATTGGTCCAATTACATAATTTTAACAGTCAAGCCGAATGCCGACCCAGCGTGACCCCAACGGAAACCGGAATAACTCCGGAACCATGTATTGACCTAAATTCAAGAACTTTAATAGATTCCCGATAAAATGCAACTTGTTGTGCAGAAAAAGATATGAAATTAAATTTTTAGAATTAATAGAATTTTGAAATCTATGCAAATTTAGACGTTAGGCAGCAAAGGTTAATGAGGACAAAATCAATATTGAGTATAGTATCTTTTCCATTTTAATAAGGGCGCATACTTTTAAAAGACTTAGCAGTATTTTAACAAATTAAGATACCCCGTTGCACATTTTCCTAAACAGAGAGGTACCTGTTGGTTATGGGTGGAGTTTAAGTCGGTATTCTTTATTGTGGACTACTGGTTTTTGGTAATACCGATACCATTTGTGGACAGTATTCTTAATACTAAAAATCAGGTAGCTAGAAATTGGGAAAAGGAATTCTGGCAAAAAATCCATTCGCAAACAAAGGTTCCTCTCTATACCTTTTACATAGTCAGTCACATTTTTTTGCAGATCAACCCCCTCCTATTTTCCCCTTCTAAATTGCTATCATGTGAAAGAAGCATCAGGCAAAGCAGGAAATTCGGTTGTAAGAAATAAAACACCAAAGAGCAAATATAGATATATTCAACAAAATCGTTCAACATATTCGGCGGGTGGTGGCTATGCTTGTACATTGTACAGCAACGATGACTGCAACTTCTTTCTACCTGAGTGCTGGAAAAGGTGTGTAAAGTCTTTTCACCGCCGGATGCATTTACCAGGCGTAGTGAGAGCTAGAGTCCTGGAAGCTAACGTGCGAAACTTGAGCCTCCGGTGCGTAGCTTAGGGTCTTGGTGGCAATAACGGGAGACGGAGTAGCGTAGATGGGTTGGGCAGAAACGGTCTTAACGTAGGTTGGCTGATGGACCAGGGTCTTGGCGTAAACTGGCTCGGATACGTAGGTTTTAGCAACTGGTGCACTGTAGGCTAGTGGAGTTTGGTACGACACGGCATTGGAAGCATATACGGCTGGCTCCTGGTGCACATAAGCCTTGGCATAGGTTGGCACAGCCTTTGCGTATGATGGTGGGTGAGATACAACATGCTTGGTGACGGATGGCTGCGAAACAACGGTCTTGGCATAGGTTGGCTGCTCATGGACGTACTGAACCGAAGGCTGGGCATATGTGACGGCCTGGGTGGCAACTGGACTGGAGTAGTGCACAGCTGGCTGGGCATATGTTACGGCTGGGGTGGAGTAGTGTACAGCAGGTTGTTGATGGACATAGGATGGCTGTGCAATCAGGGTCTTGGCGTAGGTTGGCTGCTCATGGACGTACTGAACTGAAGGCTGGGCATATGCAACAGCCTGGTGTGCGACTGGGGTAGAGTAGTGTACAGCTGGCTGGGCGTAGGTTAGGGTCTTGGCAACCGGGGCAGCATATTGGATGGTTGGTTGCTCGGCATAGGCCACGGTCTTGGTGACTGGGGTGGCATAGTGGACAGACGGCTGGGCATAGGTTACAGTCTTGGCAACTTTGGTGGGCTCGTGACGGGTGATCGAGCTGTAGCTAACGGCTGAGGCAGGCGAGTAGTGTGCCTCGTGTTGATCAGCTTCAAGGTAGGCTGCTCTGGCACAGGCCAGGGCGGCGAAGAGGACAACCATCTGCAGGGCGGCAATGAAATGGAAAGGAGTTAAGTTTTACATGTGCGTAACATACGTTGGACTGAGGGCTAATATTGCTGGTCATCATGCTTTAGTAGATCTCTGAGTACCCAAAGCTTTTGAAAAAAATGTTTACTTAATTATCTTGGCTCTGTGTTCTCTAATTCTAAGGTACTGATATTTTTAAAGATGTGACGTAAAGTTTACGATTTTCAGAGTTGGGAGGAAATGCTATACTAATGTGCTATTACAGAACTATCAATCGATCCTCTTCTGAACTTTATCTAGCTAATAAATTATGATGAAGTAACAAAACACATTGATTGAATTTATTTATGCAAAATAAACACACACATTTTTTTAAATTTAAGTTTAACATATTTTTGAATTTTTTTATTCAAAATTCCTAAACTTATTTCCCATTTGCATTTTTCCTGGAAAGCAATTGTTTTCTCCTTTATTTTTTCAAGTCGTCATTTTGATTGGAAGTCACGTTGTTGTTCTACGATTTTTTTAAATTGATTTATTCCGCCATTTTGATTATTTTTTGGCAAGTCTCCAAATGGCTGAATTTTAGCTCAATGAATATTAAGCAGAATATGTGCATTTAGAGCCTCAAATTGAAATTTTAGAGAAAACGTGTCTTTTTAAAAATGTTTCTAAACATAAAACATGATAAAGAAGAGGAGGATGGCTTTATCACAGAGCCCCGTCTCGGAGCGAGTGTGTTGTTGATGGACCTGGTCTACGATTCAAGATTGGTTTCTGTGATGATAAGTATCACGATCTTCATCGAAATGTAAGTATTATTGACAATAATCATAACAATCAACTCGTATATACATTGAAATACATATATAAAAGGGAAGGGACGATCCAACAGGGCACTCGATTAAAGCAATTTGGACGGGGAGAGTGGGAATGCGAACTCCCTGTTGATAACATTTCGTGGATAAAGGGCGGGCTCTTTTCGCCACTCATTGGGGCATCTTCCTGTTTGGGGGCTTGTCTTTTTGACCAATTGGCTGATCAAGTTGCTGGAAGGAGATTCTTTATTGTTCCGTAGATGCGTATAGGCGACTTTGCCTATCGATCTACCCAATCCGTTTTTGGCCCTTCAAATAGCGACATGCTGAGGACAATCAGAGGTTATTAAGCTTGATCAAGACACAAGCAGAGAAGAGAGCCCACTTCTGTTGGACTAAGTTCCGTGCTACAATGGGTGGTAAACCACTATCATCACCATCATATCTTTGACAAAGATGTTCCTTATAGTAAGGCCCTTGTTTTGGGGTCAGTGAATACTTGGGTGGTCCAAAAAAACTTGGGTGGAAAAAAAATCGTTTTAATTTGAATTAAATAAAGGCATACATTTTTTGGAAAAATTGTAACTCAACTAGTGCAATGAAATTTTGTATATATCTTGAATTGACCAATTTAGAGCTATTTACCTTAATTGACTTGGAATGTCTCTAAAAAACGGTTTTTTGCTATAATTTATTTTTATTTTTTATTTCTCAGCAATGTTGTCTCTCGATAACTTATTGAAATTCAGAAGACGAAACTTTTCCACGCAGAACTTTTCGATATATTTTGCCGCTCAAAAGTTATTGACAATTTTATTCAAAAAAATATGCTGATTATAAATGTTTACAAATCTCTCTTGTTGGAGCAAATATAAAAAAATATAATTTTGCAGCATTTGAAAGGTAGGTGTTTTTTTCTATGTAAAATTAGAGATAAGTAATTATTAGAACTTCTTCAAAATCATCATATCTCCTTTATATCAAGAGATACAGAAGATTGTTCGTCATGCATCAGAGATACGTATTTGACTTGTTAACAAAAGTTGTAGCTAATGACAAAACCTACAAAAACTCTTTACATTATTTTGCGGAATGCTTTTGATGCAAAAATTTAGAGGCAAATGAATTTAAATGAATGCAAATGATTGTCCATGCCTGCTCAGGACCACGCTTACCAGATATGTTCGCGAAATTTTCCGAAATTTTCCTGATGCCAATGGAATTTCTCTGGAGTTCTGGGAACTACCCTGAAATTCTCTTCAGAACTACTCTGAAAGACTCCTCAGAATTACTCTAAAGTTCTCCTCAGAACTAAGTTCTCGTCAGAACTATTCTGAAGCTCTCCTCAGAACTACTCTGAAGATCTTTTCAGTACTGCTCCAAAATTCTTATCAGAATTACTTTAAAGTTCTCCTCTGAACTACTCTGAAACTCTCATCAGAATTACTCTGAAGTTCTCCTCAGAACTACTTTGAACTTCTCCTCGGAACTACTCTGAAGATCTCTTCAGAGCTACTCTGAAATTCTCCTCAGAATTACTCTGAAGTTTTCCTCAGAACTACTATGAAGGTCTCCTCAGAACAATTCTGAAGTTCTCCTCAGAATTATTCTGAAGTTCTCCTCAGAACTACTTTGAAATTCTCCTCATAACTACTCTGAAGTTCTCCTCAGAATTACTTTGAACAGGTCTTCAGAACTACCTCTTCAAAACTACTCTGAAGTTCTCCTCAGAACTAAGTTCTCGTCAGAACTAAGTTCTCGTCAGAACTAAGTTCTCGTCAGAACTAAGTTCTCGTCAGAACTAAGTTCTCGTCAGAACTAAGTTCTCCTCAGAACTAAGTTCTCCTCAGAACTAAGTTCTCCCCAGAACTAAGTTCTCCTCAGAACTAAGTTCTCCTCAGAACTAAGTTCTCCTCAGAACTACTCTGAAGTTCTCGTCAGAACGACTTTGAACTTCTCCTCGGAACTACTCTGAAGATCTCCTCAGAACTACTCTGAAATTCTCCTCAGAATTACTCTTAAGTTCTTCTCAGAATTACTTTGAACTTCTCCTCAGAACTACTCTGAAGTCCTCTTCAAAACTACTCTGAAGTCCTCCTCAGAACTAAGTTCTCTGAAGTTCTTCTCAGAACTACTCTGAAGATCTCCTCTGAACTACTCTGAAACTCTCATCAAATTACTCTGAAGTTCTCCTCAGAACTACTTTGAACTTCTCCTCGGAACTACTCTGAAGATCTCTTCAGAGCTACTCTGAAATTCTCCTCAGAATTACTCTGAAGTTCTCCTCAGAACTACTCTGAAGGTCTCCTCACAACAATTCTGAAGTTCTCCTCAGAATTATTCTGAAGTTCTCCTCAGAACTACTTTGAAATTCTCCTCATAACTACTCTGAAGTTCTCCTCAGAATAACTTTGAACAGGTCTTCAGAACTACCTCTTCAAAACTACTCTGAAGTTCTCCTCAGAACTAAGTTCTCCTCAGAACTAAGTTCTCCTCAGAACTAAGTTCTACTCAGAACTAAGTTCTCCTTAGAACTAAGTTCTCCTCAGAACTAAGTTCTCCTCAGAACTAAGTTCTCCTCAGAACTACTCTGAAGTTCTCGTTAGAACTACTTTGAACTTCTCCTCGGAACTACTCTGAAATTCTCCTCAGAATTACTCTAAAGTTCTTCTCAGAATTACTTTGAACTTCTCCTCAGAACTACTCTGAAACTCTCCACAGAACTACTCTGAAGTTCTCCTCAGAACTACTCTAAAAAATTTTCCTCCCTCAGAACTATTTTGAAGTTCTCCTTCTCCTTAGAACTACTCTGAAGTTCTCCTCAGAATTACTTTGAACTTTTCTTAAGAACTACCCTGAAATCCTCTTCAAAACTACTCTAAAGTTCTCCTCAGAACTAAGTTCTAGTCACAACTATTCTGAAGTTCTCCTCAGAACTACTCTGAAATTCTCCTCAGAATTACTCTGAAGTTCTCCTCAGAACTACTTTGAACTTCTCCTCAGAACTACTCTGAAGCTCTTCTCAGAAAATCTCTGAAATTTTCCTTAGAATTACTCTCAAGCTCTCCTCAAAACTACATTGAAATTCTCCTTAGAACTACTTTGAAGTTCTCCTCAAAAATACTCTGAAGTTCTCATCAGAACTACTCTGACACTCTCCACAGAACTACTCTGAAGTTCTCCTCACAACTACTCTGAAATTATCCTCTCTTAGAACTACTTTAAAATTCTCCTCAGAACTACTATGAATATCTCCTCAGAGTTACTTTGAACTTCTCTTAAGAACTACCGTGAAGTTCTCTTCAAAACTTTTCTGAAACTTTCCACAGAACTACTCTGAAGTACTCCTCAAAACTGCTCTGAAGGTCTCCTCAGAACTATTTTGAAGTTTTCCTTAGAATTATTCTGAAATTCTCCTCCGAACTACTTTGAAGTTCTCCTCGTAACTACTCTGAAGTTCTCATCAGAATTACTTTGAACTTCTCTTCAGAACTACTCTGAAATCCTCTTCAAAACTACTCTCTAGTTCTCCTCAGAACTAAGCTCTCGTCAGAACTACTCTGAAGTTCTCTTCAGAACTACTCTGAAGTTCTCCTCAGAACTATTCTTAAGTGCTCCTCAGAACTACTCCGAAGTTCTCCTCAGAGCTAAGTTCTAATTCTCCTAAAAATACTCTAGACCTTCGATGAAGTTTTCATAATTTTCCTGAAATATACTAAGTTGTCTGAATATTCTTTTGAAGATCTTTAAATTTTCCTGTCGGAACTTCCCTAAATATATCTGAACTCCCCAGAAGTTCTTTGCACTTCTCAACAAACAAGAGTTCTCTGGACTTCCCTAAAAGTAACGGAACGTTCCTTAAGCTCCCGCAGTTTTACTGATATTCATAACTCTTCTCCGATATATCCCCATGGTTTATGGGGACTGATACTTCTTCAACGCTCCCCCCTTTTTTTGAAGTTAATGTAAATTCAAAGACGATCACTGAACTTCGGAGAATTTCAAAGCCCCTTGGATATTTTCACAATGATTCATATCGATTAGTTATTCAGAAGAATTTCTACTGATCAACTATTTAATCAGATAAGTTTACTATTTATTTACTATTTCAACTGAATCAGAGATTATTAAAATAACCGTATGACTTCATTACGATTAGCTCGTTTAAAGATCTCCAACTAATTGAAAGTGCAAGAGACGATTCTCAAATATTATGCCTTTAAGTAAGCTTGCAAATGCTCATTACAGCTAAAATGATATTTTTCGGATTTATGAAGCT